GGGGGGGGCGAGAGTTGCCTCTATGAATTTTTCATGCTGTGCATGAAGCTTAGTGCTGAGCGGAGGTGTACAATTTTGAACGCCACATCCAGGACGGCTCGTCCCGGCCAAGTTGGAAGAAAAAAAAACCCGGTGCTACGATTTCCGTTATTTGAATCGGAACACAAAAATGAGTGCACACTGAGCCACCAGCTTCCCCTCAGCACCACCTCTCATGCTGAGCATAAAAAATCACGGAAGCACCCTTCCGCTTTTCTCGTTCCTCATGCTCCCCGCAAACACGGCCTGTTCCCATTTCCCATATCCAACCGAGATCTTTTCATTCAGTATCCCGCCCTTCCCCCTTCCGCTACTCCCGAGATTTAGACCATCATCCCGGCCTCCACGCGTCCTCACTTCTCTACTACCCCTCCAGCCATCGCAACTCGACTCCCGACCTCGCCAACTTTTGATGATGGCCTCTTTTCGGTAGCTACTAAAACCCGGCTCGGCCGTTTTTCTACGGTCGCTTGGAATGCTATTTCACGGTTTGCTCGCCAGTGCTTCTTGGCAGTTTGGTGGGAGCGCCGGGGGGCGTCCCTCGCGTAGTGACGTAAGGACAGCTAAAAAGATCGTCCGCAAATCGTGTAAGGCACCGGCCGGGCCAAGCCGAGCCGAATTTTAGTATTTGCCGAGTTTTTGTAACAGCGATTACTCTTTCCCGTTGCATCTCTCATCCCACCCGAAATTTACGGTACTCAGCATCTGCGCGGAAATCAAACCTACGAAGGAGTGCATACTGCACGCCTGACCCGCGTTTCGTAACTGCCTATCCTAACTCCTCCCCTGCCTTGAGCCCCTATGATCAAAACTCGTACCGCGCTAATCCCTCCCTCCTACCAGGCACCCCTAAAATCCAGAGGATCTGTCGCCACCCGGTTTGAAGAGTACTTTACCAGGGAAGAAATAAGAGAAGCGTATGTGTGGCCAGGAGCCGGTAAATGATTTCAAAAAATTTATCACATTTTTGGAAACCACAACAAACTACAGTGGATAAATTAAACAAAGCACGAAACATAAAATTAAAAAAAATAAAGTATTCACAAAACAACACAGAAAGATGCACAAAAAGGAGGTTAGAAATTGCGCAGCTGGGATAAGTTCAGCACAGTTAGTCCTGGCTTGAGAACGCAGCACAGTACGGTGAAACTCCAGTTGCCTTAATATAAATGCTTAACAAATCTGTCAGTGTAAAAATTTCTGGAGCATTTCCGCATCCATCCAAATGGGCACTGAGGGATTTTACCACTACTCAATGCAACTAGGACTACTATTGGGGTAATAGGCGAAAGCTAAGTCACCACATCTTTCGACGGCTTTCCGATTCGTGGTGGTCTGCACATGACCAGCAGTATTTGCTATGAATTATAGGTAGAAAATACTTTTTTAATCGATTCTGTGGAACCAAACGTCAGCCATAGAGGATAAAGAAGGAGAAAGTGGCTGGCGCGACTCACAGATTCACTTTTTTGCCTCTATGCGATTAATGATTGTGGAGGTGGCAAGTTAAGGACGGACAAAAACATGGAGGAACTGCCAAGCGCTGCATCGATTTCATAAAACAGCAACTGCTCAAAGAATAACACTTTGACGAGTAAAGCGTTGAATGAAATCATTTTCGAAAACAAAAAAATAAAAAACACTAGCTGCATGAAAACAACACAAAATCACAATCTGCGCCTAAAAAAACTTGTCCCCAGATGAACTGCTGACATATATAAGTGGAAAAAAACTATTCCTTGCAAAAGGCATTAAATATCGGGTGGTAGACGACATAAGATACCACTGCTATCCAGCGCCGAATAGAAGAAGACATTCTGAAGTGGTTCGTCGCGGTGAGAGAGCACCTGAAAAAAAAAAATTCCCCGGATTTCCAGTTGGGAATCAAGAAACTGTGGCATCACTCAGATGCACTAAGGCTTGCGCAAAGAAGGAAGAGTCAACCAGAAACATAAAAACCCAATCAAAGACCCTTTCATGATAGATTCTGCTACTGAACAGAAGTGCTGTCTTACCAACAGAATCGGAAAGTGTGCAAAAATTCTCCACATTTTACTTTCAAGTGGAAACACTCAGTAGTTCGAGTGGTAGCGCAATGCCAAATGCACCTACCTGATGACAAAGCTGTTATTGGGTTCCTCTTCGAATGGTTGCTCTGAAGCAAGCTAATGGCAGCTCTGACTTTTTGGTACCAAATTAACATCGAAACAAACCCTACAGCGAATGTTTTCTCTACTGGAACCCTCGACTTTTAACATGGTAGCAGTACTACTTGCTAAAACAGGACAATCCGGTAGTTTGTAGAATGCGGCACAAAAATGATGACTGATGTTTTGTAAACGGCTACACATGTATCTTCCCGATTTTCAAACTCCGGACACTTTCTGCCTCATATATCCAGTTCAGTGTGTCAAAGAACGTGATGCAGCAGGCACTACTTCCAGCGTTTCGTAAAGCATCGGATCAGATTTTAAGAGTACTTACTTTTATTGCTTCTTGAGCAACACGAGCACCGACCACAGCACAAGCAGAACTTAGCTGGGGTCCAGTAAGCCTGAAATAACTCTATGTCAAACAGAGCATGAAAGGACAGAAGGTGATCACCAGCATTAATATGCTGAATTGTATTTACCTATACAATTATGCCTGTTTCGTCTAAAAACTAAATGGAGAGGAATGGGAGAGGGTTAGAGAGAAAAAGAGAGAGGAGGGTCAGAATATGGTGCAACTGGCAAGTAAAATGTCCCAAACCGCCCACAACTGCACTTTACATTTCCTATGTGGGTAAATGATACGCTGCAATCCTAAGAAAAACTATTCTGTGCATGGATTACTAAAAGCCAATAATTTAGGCCATGATAACTCTGTGACAGATCAGTTAAAGTATGCCATCTTTTGAGCGTTTTTAGACTTACACGGGAAAATTTCAGTAAGATGCTCAGGAAATCAAGCCTCAGCCTGTTTTGCACTGAAAAAAAAAAAAAAAAAAGAAAACTGAAGTTGTGAGTTATAGAAAAATAAAAAACAAATTCGCCATAGGAGGCGAATATCCATCCAGCAAAGAAGGAGACAACTGTGCCGAAGTGGAGAAAAAAACCAGATGAAAAGAGTGCAAGAACCAGTTCGAAGAGCTAATGAGGTGAAGCGAGTTAGAGGAGGACGAGACATGAGAAAAATGCAGCGTCATTTCCAACAGAACGAGAAGTATCAAGCTAGCCAAAAGGTGCCAATTTCAAAACATTTAAATGCAAGAAAACAGGCATTTTACAATTCGAAAAATTTTTTTGCAGTGACGAAAGGACATTTCGCTATTCGTTATGTCATGAATCCATGGCCTAAGAGGTATTTCAAGTCTGCGCAGGCGTAAGAGAAAGAAGAGGGAAGTGAATAAAACAGATTTGAAAAAGAGAGAAAAATAGGTTTGGAAAAGGAAGATGCAATGCACTACACGCTAGCTGGCAAAAGTAAGTGCTGGCGGACGCACACGGAAACTATTATATTAGTTGCATAAACAAAAGAAAAGAAAAATCTAGGTAAAAAGATGCATCAGAATCCCTGACGCGATCATGCGTTTTGTGTTAATTTGAAGCAATCAGATTGTTAACAGTGTTAACGACCTGTAACTTTACATTTTGACATGCACATTCCTGTTGACCGTACTTTGGTTTTTTCTAACATGGAAAAAGAAAAGCGCACCGGCTGGGACGGTACTTCTGCACCATAGGGCTACGTGAAATTTTAATTTTCAACATGGATGATTGTCGCAAATTTTACATTAGGGGAAACGGAAAATTTCCGGCGATTGGTCGTTCATTGAAAATGCAACATGAACTATGCATAGGGCGTCAAGAGAAAAGGATGATGAAATTTGAACAAAATGCAATCGTTTTTGAGGTTTGGATAAAACTGAGCATCTGTAGTATCCATGTATAAAGAATTTCACTGCCAAGCTAAACTTAGACCACAAGTGAGTACAGAATACCTTTGTAACATTCCAGCTTAGCAGCTTGTTGGTGCTCGAGATGGCCACTTCGCTAGAAATATCTCTGACACGCCTTATCGCATGGCGCAAATGAAATTCGAAACTCCATTTAGATATACGAGACCAAAGATGAACGATAAACATCTGGTAAAATTACAGCTTTTCGGCGTATGGACGTGAGCGATGATTTCAAGTTGCAAGGAAAACATGAAGGGTGGGAAAAAGCTCGAAAAATTTCAGCTTCCTTTCTTCTCCAATTGTGGAGTGAAAAAAATTCACACCCACATACACACGACCACACACACCGACGGACTTTTGGCAACATGCGTTTTTGCATTCGCATAAGATGCAACCCAGATAGCGACGTAACAGGCCAGCCGATGCAATCATGCGTGTTTGCGCTAAACTTGAAACAGTCAGATCGTTAACTGTATGATTGGATGCGGCTTTACAGTTTGGTACATGGACTCATGCTGGCTGCGTTTTAGCTTCTTATTGCATGCAGGAGGGAAAGAGCGTCCGCTAGAGGACTATGTGAATCTTCAGCATGTACGATTATCAGTCTTGCGTAAAGAGAAATGAATAATTTCCGGTGGCTAGTCGTCCATGGAAAAGTGCAAATCTGACAATGAACAGGATGATGAAAGATGATGAAATGATGACGAAAGAGGACGACGAAATCCGTAAGGCACAACTGCTTTTAAAACTGCCATAAAACTGAGCATTTTTCACGTCCGCGTACAGGTAATTTCGCCTCCAAATTGGATTTAGGCCATACGTGAATGTAGAATATTCTTGCAAAAGTTTCAGTATCGCAGTCTACCTGATAAGCGAAATTGCCTGTTCGCTACCTCTCAACGACATGCGTTTTTGCATTAGCGTATTATGCAAAAACGCATAAAAACGAATAAAAAGGCTTACATAGGATAGTATTTTGGATGAAAATATTCATCATTGAGGATGTGATTACACTGCTCCAATTCTTTCTTCCATAAATCCATGAATCGTTCTTTACTTGGCATTTCCGCTCCCGACCGGTTATTCTCGCGCAGCAAAACTGAAGTAGTACTGTATATCAAAGAATGCATCTCATACACTTAGAACAACAGAAAAAAAAACATCTTCACAGATAAAAACAGCCTCAAGCCACTGTCCCAAGCGATAGTAGCAGCTCCAGGGAATAACTGTTCCATGTCATCGTAGCAATTTCAGAAAACAACAACTGCCTCAAGCTGAGCAATAGCCTCAAAAAATGGCACACGCTTTGGGCCATCGAAAGAACCTTAGGAAACCGCACGGCTGCATGAGAGCTAATAAATGATTTCATGTAATCTGAGTTTCACCATCAAAAAATACCATGCAGCTGCTCATGACGTAATTATCTCGAATATAACCGTAAAACACCCTGTAAGCAGGGAAAGCATAACGCGAGTTTTTTTTTTCCCGAAAAATTTCCGTGTGATCGGCCAGATTTCTGAAATAATTCTAGCCTACGTCACGCAGCTGTTGTTTTTGCTATTGCTGCTTAATGAAATACACACACACACACACACACAAACATATAGTACGTACATATAAAAGCACACGCACACACGTACACCAATAATCACAATGTGGTACTAATTCTCTCAATAATATTACCTCCTTAATAATGATGTTTCCCGGCCAGTGATTCCGGCGTTTTCAAGCGTTAATTTGAATCAAAAAAG